GCAGCTGCTTCGAGTGGGGTCCGGGCCCAATTTGGGGGGGGGGGGCTCAAACTGTGCGCAGCAGGGGCCCTGGCTTGAGCGGCTGCCCCCCAACACCCCGGCATGTGGGGCAGAACGACCCCCCCATCCCCTTGACTCTGGCCTACCTCCGAGCCCCCGACCCTTAGAGATGATTTTCCTGTCTAACCCAGGGGGCCACGTTCGGTGAGGCCTGGCCACCTGTGGTGTCATTTTTCACCCACCCGCATGTGGAATGAATTTTATTCCATGCGCCGGGGCGCGCACCACCCGCAGAAAGACCTCTGGATGCTCTGCTGCTCAGCAGGGTGGCCGCTTTTGCCCCACAACTTCACAACTGGCCCAGACAAGGGAGTGGGTCGCACCTGCTGCTTGTGGGTGACACGAAGCTAGTGGGAGAGGTAGATTCGTTGGAGGGCAGGGACAGGGTCTTGACATCCGGTGCGCAGGAGCGTGTGTGGCGATATCAGGCCTGGATTGGGGGGGCAGGAAGGGCTCGGGTGAACAGCCCCCAGTAGGGCACGAGAGTCGAGCCAGACGTGTGGGGGAAGGAGGGCTTGGATGCCAGCCCCACACAAGTTGGGGTCACCCCCAGGCTTAGCCCTGCCCCCCATCCCATTTCTCCTGGGGCCGGCAAGAAATAGGGGCCCCGTAAGGAGGTTGGAAGCGGGGTGCCCTGAAACCAGGCTCCTCCGTTGAGTCTGTGAAATATTCCTGGGGGCGGAGGGAGGGTTTTCGGAGGGGGCTGGCGCCGTGGGGCATGGCTGCTCAAAGGGCTCCCCCTTTCCGTGAGAAACAGCCCCCGATTCCCCCCCTCGACCTTCTCCCGAGTGCAGCCAAGAACCTAGCAGAAGACGGTGGAGGTGGGGGATGTCTTAGGTTCCCTCTCTCCGGCCTGGGTGCAATCCCTCCCAGGATCGGGCCCACCAAGGCCCAGGGGGGGTGAGGTCTGAGTTGCAGGGGGGGTTGGGTTCCCCTCCACCTGCCTGAGCCTGGAATTCGAGGTCGAACTAAGCTACCCCAATGGCGTGGCTCATTTCGATCTTATTTCGAAATCGCTTATTTCAAAATCTGGCGCTGGTCGGGGCTTGGACGCCGGCCCCCCATGCAAATTGGGGTCACCCCCAGGTTAGCCCTGCCCCATCCTATTTTCCCTTGGCTCAGCAGGGGGGGGGGGCAAGGAGCCACCCCAGCCCCATACGCCCCCGTCAATCCCTCCACAAGTTTGGCTGCTGTTTTGGGGGGGGAGGGGGAGCGTGAGAGTTTCTCCAAAATCAAAAAGGGGGCGGGATGCCAAAAAGTTTGGGAACGGCTGCGAACAGCGGGCCCGTTAAATCGAGATCTATTTCGAAACGTGGGCTCGTTCTTCGAGGATACTTCCGGTATCCCCGAATTATGCCGTGGTCTAGACCAGTGTTTCCAAGTTTGGCTGCTGTTTTGGGGGGGGAGGGGGAGCGTGAGAGTTTCTCCAAAATCAAAAAGGGGGCGGGATGCCAAAAAGTTTGGGAACGGCTGCGAACAGCGGGCCCGTTAAATCGAGATCTATTTCGAAACGTGGGCTCGTTCTTCGAGGATACTTCCGGTATCCCCGAATTATGCCGTGGTCTAGACCAGTGTTTCTTAAACTGTGTTCCACGGCATACGGAGGCAGTCGGAGGTGTGCCGCGGAGAAAACAGAGTTCAAAATGGCCGCCCTTAAAGGGGCAGGCAACCTTTTTTTTTTTTGCTCAATAACTTTCCCCCGCCCTTTTTTTTGCAAGTTTAAGAACCACTGGTTTATACTGCCCCAGCCGCACCGGGGTCCCCGCAAGGAAAGGGAGCCTGGTCCGGGGCGGAGCCACATTTGGCCAGAAGGGGGCGCTGCTGAGAATCGGCCGCTCCATTTGCATACGGTGAAGCCAGCCCCACCGAGAGCCGCCTCCCAGGCGAGGAGGAAGGAGAAACCAAGTGGGAGGAGAGGAAGTCCCGGGCTTCCGATGTGGAAGGGGTCGGCCAGGCCACACCCCCACAGCTGAAAGTGGAAGAAGTCTGGGTATGTGGGGACGACGGTCAACAGGGATCCGTCCCCCGGATTGGCCCCTCGAGGCATCGCGATGGTGAGGTCCCCGGGGAAGAGGGAAGGCCTGGAAGTTAAAGATACGGGGCCTCTCCTGGAGGTGGTGACTGAGCTTGGCGGAAGGGGAAAAACAAGGCCCTGGAAGATTTGGTGGTAGGGAAAACAGGCCGACCCAAACCACCCTGCCGAGAAGTCTCCAGCTTTGGAAAGAGGGGCTGTTGCTCTAGTGGTCGGGAACGTAGCCTCACTGAGGACACAACAGAGCGGCCCGACCAAAGGCCCATCTAGCCCGGCGTCTGGGCTGCCGCCGGCGGCCGATGCCAGGTGCCCCAGAAGGAGACCTCACGCGATCTCTCCCCCGTGGCCCATTCCCAGCGGCTGGCAAACGGAGACGCGGTGATTTCGAGGGGGGAGATGAGCGAGGGATTTCAACCCTCCCTTTTGCCAGACTCCGGTGTCAGCCTCCATTGCTTCTTGTCCTGTCCTCAAGGAAAACAATTTTTCTCCCTCCTCCTTGTGACACCCTTTTAGATACCTGAAAACCGCTCGCATGTCCCCTCTCGGTCTTCTCCTTTCCAAACGAAACCAGCCCAATTCTTTCAGCCTCCCCTCCTCGCTCATGTTATCTCGACCTTTCATCATTCGTGTTGCTCTTCTCTGGACCCTCTCCAATTTCTCCACCTCTTTCCTGAAATGCGGGACCCAGAACTAGACACAATTCTCCAATTGAGGCCTAATCAGAGGAGAGCGGAAGAATGACTTCTCGGCTGTGTCTAGACTGGCAAGTTTTTCCGCAAAATCATTCGATTTTGCGGAAAAACTTGCCAGCTGTCTACACTGGCCGCTTGAATTTCCGCAAAAGCACTGACAATCTAAACGTGCTTTTCTGAAAATGCTTTTAACGGAAAACTTTTCCGTTAAAAGCATTTGCGGAAAATCACGCCAGTCTAGACGTAGCCTATGTGTCTATAAGACTACATATATATATTTTTGTTAGTCTCACACCCTAAGTCTACACTAGGGCATGATTTCAAAATAACTCCCCATATTTTGAAATAACAAGCGGCGCATCTGCACGCCCAAGTATTTCGAAACAACGGGGTGGTTGTTTGAAAATCGGGATGCCCGCTTTCCTTGGGGAATCAGGCTGATTTCGACATTGCGGCCGTGTGGACACTCCGTGGATGCTATTTCGAAATAACAACTCCCCAAAGTCATTCGAACGAATTCCTCCCCGGCGCTTGCTGGGGCTGTAAGTCGAGGGAGGACGCCCCCATGAATGGAGCCTGTCCCGGACGAATTTCATGGTTTCCCCATAGTTCGGTGTTGTTATTACGGGAGTTATTTCGACATCGTTTCCTAGTGCTGACATACCGAAGGCCCCGCTGGCCTCCTCGTTGTTTTTAAAGTTACAGACTAACCCGGCCGCTTCGCTGAGATTTTTGGCTCCTTTGAAAGGCTCTCTCCTCAGTGGGGAAGGGAAAAATCATGAGCAGACCCGCCTCGGCGCTGGGGATCTAAGAGAAAAAACCCAGAGGAACTCAGAACATGGGGGGAACCATGCGTGCGAAAGTCTCTCTAGCAAAGGGTGAGAAACAAAACCGACATTTAATGAACCCCAAATCTCTCAGTCCCCGAGCCCCCTCCTCATTCAGCCAGGGACCACGACCCCCGCACACGAGAAGACGGCCAAAGTTCATGGGGACTTCCGCTGCCATCTGTCACCGGAACCCAAAATCCAGGCTGTCCCAAGGAGGAGCGGGGGGCTGGGACAACCCCCCACCCACCGTCCCGTGCCCTTCTAGCTCCAGCATCCTGCTGCCATGGGGCGAGATGGGTGCAAGATGGGTGCTCCATAGGACAGTTGGAACAGCTGTCCCCATGGACGAGATGGGTGCAGGTAACATGCAGCCAACTTTGTCCCACTGATGGGTGAACCGTTTCTCGTTGGGCTTCTCCCTTTGGCCCCAGCCGGCAGACGGGACCCCGGGCTAGCTGGACCATTGGTCGGACCCCGTCTGGCCGCTCGGATGGCATCGACGATTCAGCACATCCCATCTCCCACCGTGTGGGCCGTTTGGGAGTTCATCTGCTTTGACCGCGGGAAGATGAACGCTGAGGTTTTGGGTCGGGGCGCGAGCGGGGACGCAGCACGGGGGCTGGAGAAGGAAAACTTTTCCCGCCTCTAAGACATTCTCAGTCAAGTAACCCACCCACCCTGGCTGGGCCTGTCCAGCAACACCCCCGTTTGCAATTACTCCCCACCCCACCTTGGCACCCAGAATCATGCCTCCTGGAGCCCCAAATCTCTCAATCCCCAAGCACCCTCCTCATTCACCCAGGGACCCCACAATGCTCCCCAGGCATGGAGCCCAGCTAGGAGGAAAAAAACACTGTGACCCTCTATCCCAGTGTTTCTTAAACTTTTTAAGACCGAGGAACACCAAGCAGTCATTTTTTTGTAGGGGGAACACCAAGGATTTTTTTGTTGAGAAAAAAAAAAGGAGGCTTGTCGGTTTGTCCCTTTAAGAGCGGCCAGTCCCCAGGGAAAAGTTGTTGACAACAACAACAACAAAAAAAAGAGGCTTGTCGGTTTGTCTCTTTAAGAGTGGCCATTCCCCAGAGAAAAGTTGTTGAGAAAAAAAAGGAGGCTTGTCCCTTTAAGAGCAGCCATTCCTCAGGGAAAAGCTGTTGAGACCCCCCCAAAAAAAGAGGCTTCTCCCTTTAAGGGCAGCCATTTTGAATTCTGTTCTCTCCGTGGCACACGGGTGTGCCACAAAACACGCTTTAAGAAATGCTACTATACATCCTCTTGTACATGATTTATTATTTGGATTTTGGTGGAACACATATAAGATTAATACACAGTCCCCAGGGAAAAGATGTTGAGAAAAAAAAAAGGAGGCTTGTCCCTTTAAGGGTGGCCATTTTGAATTCTGTTCTCTCCACGGCACACCTCCGACTGCCTCGCGGCACACCAGCAGAGCACACTTTAAGAAACGCCGCTCTATCCCGTGTGAATCTTCTGATGCCGGATAAGGTGGGAGCTCTGACGGAAGTTTTTCCCACACTCGGGGCATTTATAGGGCTTCTCGCCCGTGTGGATCCGCTGGTGCGTTTTGAGCAGCGAGTTGGACTGGAAACTTTTCCCGCACTCGCTACATTTGAAGGGTCTCTCCTCCGTGTGGATTTTCTGGTGTCTAGCCAGGCCCGAGGCGGCACCGAATCGTTCCCCGCACGCGGGGCACGTATAGGGCCTGTCTTCCGAGTGGAGTCGCCGGTGCCGCCGGAGGGTGGAGCTGTCGTTGTACCTTTTCCCGCAGTCGGGGCACTGAAAGGGTTTTTCCCCTGTGTGGATGCGCTGGTGTTTCATCAGGGCGGAACAGTGACTGAAGTTTTTCCCACACTCGGGACAGCTATACGGTTTCTCGCCCGTGTGGAGTCTCTGGTGCTTCATAAGCGCTGAATTCACGCCAAAGTTTTTGCCACACTCGGGGCATTTGTAAAGCGCTGCTCCCGTGGGGGGTCCCGGATGCGTCACGGGCGCCGGCCTTCGCTTCTCTCCCGTGTGCAGCCTCTTGTGCTTAATGAGCCCAGAGCAGTCACTGAAGTTTTCCCCGCAAGCCTGGCACGTGTAGGGTCTCTCCCCCGTGTGGCTCCGCTGGTGTCTCGCCAGGTGGGAACTCAGCCGGAAGCGGTTCCCGCAGTCGAAGCAGGCGTAGGGTTTTTCTCCCGTGTGGATCCGCTGATGCGCCGTGAGGTCGGAGCTGACGCTGAAGCCTTTCCCGCACTCGGGGCACCGGTACGGTTTCTCCCCCGTGTGGACTCTCTGATGCACGATCAGGATCGAGCGCCGGTTGAAGCTTTTCCCGCACTCGGGGCACTGAAAGGGTCTCTCGCCCGTGTGGATGCGCCGATGGACGAGGAGGTCTCTGCTCACGCTGAAGTTTTTCCCGCACTCGGGGCATCGGTAAGGGTTGTCCGCCATGTGGGTAGCCTCGTGCGCGAGGAGGTAGGAGCTGACGCGGAAGCTTTTCCCGCACCGGACGCACTTGTAGGGTTTCTCGCCGGTGTGGATTTTCCGGTGGGTGCAGAGGGTGGAACTGAGGCGGAAGTTTTTGCCGCACTCGGGGCACGGGTACGGTTTCTCCCCCGTGTGGATTCTCTTGTGCTTAATAAGGGTGGAGCGGACGGTGAACTTTTTCCCGCATTCGGGGCATTTATAGGGCTTCTCGCCGGTGTGGATCCTCCAGTGCGTCGTAAGAAACGACCTCCGGGCGAAGATTTTCCCACACTCGGGGCAGTGATACGGTTTCTCTTCCATGTGGACTTTTATCCTCTTCGATTTCCCGACAGCTCCGGTCGTGATGCCCGCTTTCTTCTGGGACTCCTCTTCGGGGATTTCCCCCAGATCTTTGCACCTCTCGTAGAATTCTACTCGCTCGGGACTCGGGGAAACGTTTCCGTCAGATTGTCCCGAGACCGTCCTGTCCGTTTGCAGCGGGCTGTTCTCTTCCTTTATCGTCACCGTCCCATCTGCTGGAACCATAGAATCACAGAACACTAGGACTGGAAGGGACCTCGAGAGGTCATCGAGTCCAGTCCCCTGCCCTCACAGCGGGACCTAGTACTGTCTAGACCAGGGGTGGCCAACCCACGGCTCCCCCCTTAAAGTGTGGCTCGCGAAGCCTCCCCGTGGCTCATGCAGCGGCCCCTGCACCCCTGTGCTCACCAGTGCGGCAATTCAAAATGGCATCACTAAGATGGCCAATGGTTTTAAAGGGGTTTTAAAGGGGCAGCTCTCTTAATTTAATGGGTTGGCCACCCCTAGTCTAGACCAACCCATCTTTGCCCGGAGGTCGTTTCTTACAACGCACCGGAGAATCCCCACTGGCGAGAAGCCCGACAATCAAAGGGGGAAACTGAGACCCAAGGCGCTCCTTGGGTGGGGAAGTAAAGAATCCCCGGGCAGGGGGAACCCCATAAAAACACTACAAATCCTCAAATCCCCCCCAACCAGAGGTATTAGGTCTACTTCTGCACAGACAAAGAACGGGGAAGAGAAGGGAGAAATGTGCATTCATGGTCAGGGAGGGAGGAAAGTTGGGGGAACCCTGATAGGGTTAAGCAGGTGCCGACCTAAGAGATCTTTCTGAGGATCCTGGGGGTTTTGTTCACTCTCCCGTAGTTTCTGAGTTGCTTGAACACACTCCTCACCCGTGCGTCTCCTCCCTCCGTCTGCTTTCTCCCCTGGCGCCATCAGAGAGATCTGGAGTAGAAATAGTCCCAGGAAGAGTTGGGTCATCCATTTGGCACAGCGCCTAGGACCTACGAAAAAGTGTAGGGCCTACAAAAAAACAAAAACAAAAACATAACCGACTTGAAAATAAGAAAATGGCAAAATCAAACGTAATCATTCTCTCTCTTCGGTCAACGAACCAAGAAAACGGCAAAATCAAAATTAATCATTCTCTCTTGAGTCAAGGAACAAAGAAAACGGCAAAATCAAACTTAATCATTCGCTCTCAAGTGAACGAACCAAGAAAACGGCGAAATCAAACTTAATCATTCGCTCTCTTGAGTCAAGGAACCAAGAAAACGGCAAAATCAAACTTAATCATTCGCTCTCTTCAGTCAATGAACCATGAAAATGGCAAAATCAAACTTAATCATTCGCTCTCTTGAGTCAAGGAACAAAGAAAACGGCAAAATCAAACTTAATCATTCGCTCTCTTGAGTCAAGGAACAAAGAAAACGGCAAAATCAAACTTAATCATTCGCTCTCTTGAGTCAAGGAACAAAGAAAACGGCAAAATCAAACTTAATCATTCGCTCTCTTGAGTCAAGGAACAAAGAAAACGGCAAAATCAAACTTAATCATTCGCTCTCTTGAGTCAAGGAACCAAGAAAACAGCGAAATCAAACGTAATCATTCACTCTCAAGTCAACGAACCAAGAAAACGGCAAAATCAAAATTAATCATTCTCTCTTGAGTCAAGGAACAAAGAAAACGGCAAAATCAAACTTAATGATTCACTTTCTTCAGTCAACGAACCAAGGAAATGGCAAAATCAAACTTAATCATTCGCTCTCAAGTGAACGAACCAAGAAAACAGCAAAATCAAATGTAATCATTCGCTCTCTTCAGTCAACGAACCAAGAAAACGGCAAAATCAAAATGAATCATTCGCTCTCTTGAGTCAAGGAACAAAGAAAATGGCAAAATCAAACTTAATCATTCATTTTCTTCAGTCAACGAACCATGAAAATGGCGAAATCAAACGTAATCATTCGCTCTCAAGTCAACGAACCAAGAAAACAGCAAAATCAAACTTAATCATTCGCTCTTCAGTCAACAAACCAAGATATCACATACTAAGATATCACATAGGCCACAGGGCATTTCTCTCTTGTAAATTTCTATAGAATCTAATGTCAAGGCCTATGATTCTGAGCGCACCTCGGCCGACAAAGACTTTCATCCGGCCCTTGCCCTAGGTATGACGACGCGCAGACACCTTGTCCGCAAGGCAAGTAGTTTCACTCACGTGTATCCATGCACGATTTTTGCTGATCTTTTAGCCAGGGACGGGGGAGAAGTCGAAAATCAGACACGTGGCTTTTCTGAGAGGAGAAACTAAGCTTCGATGGTCTCGCCAGTCCCAGACCGATGCCACACGGTGCCGGGAGTCAGCGCATGCGGCCCGCTCAGCGGCAGTGACGCCTAGTGGATATAACACCAGGCAGACCCTCATGAGACCTCTGCTCTAGGCACACAGAACTAAAAGAAGACTATTCCCATTCCCAACTCTCCAACCATCATGAGTCATTGCTCAAAAACCATGAGATTTTCGGGGGGGGGAGGGGCGATTTCAATAAGGATCAGAAACCAAGAAGAATACATTTTGGGCTCTTTTCTTCCACATCAAGTGGCCTTTTTCTGCTGGGGTCATGGCCAGACTGTTATTTTAATCTTTTTTTTTTAAATGAAATCACATGACTCCCGCACCCCGGTGAATATCATGAGACATAAGTGGAGCCCTGCAAATCCGCAGTTCTCTGCTTTATATCCACAGGTATCCGCTCCCATGTGTGTTAGTGTTGCCTGGTGTCCGATTTTCGCCCGGACTGTCCGTTACTTGGGTCCGTCCGGTAAAAAAACGCCAGAAAATACCGGACACGTGAAATGTCAGGTATTTCCTGTTTCCTCCCCCAGTATTTCCTGTTTCTCCCCCTGGTATTTCCTGTTTCCTCCCCCGGTATTTCCTGTTTCCTCCCCCAGTATTTCCTGTTTCCCTTGGATGGAAGCCCGGCAGGGACAATTTTCCCTTGCTGTGTCTGGTAGGGGCGGGGAAGTGAGGAGCGCAGGGCCGTTTAAAGGCGCAGTGACCCCTTTTCTTTTTTTTAATTTTGCTCAACAACTTTGGTCTCCCCGCCTCTTTTTTTTGCTCAACAAAATTTTTTCCTGTTTTTTTGTGGGGGGTGGGTGTTCAGTATTTTTTGTTAAATCGTCTGGTCACGCTAGTGGGTGTGGATAGCCGCGCCTCATTTTTGGGAATACGCCTTTTGTAGCCGCACGGGGCTCTAAACAGAATAGTCCGTTTCTCTCTGCTGCATCTAGAGCACGGTTCCCAAACTTTTCGGCAACACGCTCACGTTTTGATGTTTGAGAAATCCTCACACACACCCTTACCCCCTCCCCCTCCACAATAGCAGCAAAACATTCACACCGAGAAATACTACGCTAATGTGGGCGGCACACGTCCCTTGGAGTTTTCCGAAAAGACGGAAAGTGAGTATTGAACTCTGAGCAAACTCAATTTTACAATATCCCTCCACCTCTACAAACAAAGGACGTTCACCCCATTTTATTTTCCCAGTTCAGAATTAAAAAAAACCAAACTAACGAACATCAATAAACCAGGCTGCCCGCAGCTCGTATTTCGGTCTCGGCTCGTTTTTCCAGTCCTCATGCAAATCAAGGGCTCGTCTCATTTGCATAGGGCGGGGCCAGATGAAGTATATATTTCAAAAAATAAACACATTCATCAGAAAAAGTGGGTTATGCCCATGAAAGCCCCCGATCCCCTCGACAAGTTTGGTTAGTTTTTAGGGGTATGTCTACACAGCAAAGTTATTTAGAAATAACAGCCGTTTTTTCGAAATAACGTTCCTAGCGTCGACACAAGCCAACTGCTATTTCGAAAGTCATTCGAAATAGCAGCGGGCGTATTTCGAAATGGGGAAACCTCATTCCATGAGGAATAGTGCCTATTTGGAAATTGCGATTTCGAAAGAAGCGCTGGGTAGACGCTTATTTCGAAATAGGGGGCCTCCAGCCCTTCCCAGGGTGCCTTGCTGGCCGCCCTGGCCACAAGGTCACTTCGGACCTGATGCCCTGCCGGAACCGGTTCCGGCTGGCCTTAAATGCGATTCAGCATCCAATCAATGTGGACGCGCTATTTCGAAAGAGCAAAACGCTATTTCGAAATGCATTTTGTGTGGAGACGCGTCATTTCGAAAGAAGGTATTTCGAAATAACTCGTTCGAAATTAGATCTTTCGAAATACCGCTGTAGCGTAGACATACCCTAAGATGCTCCCAGACTATTGGTTGGTTTTTAAGTTTAACCCACATTTTTTTGGCAGAGGCTGGATATGGGTGACAAAGTGGATTATTTCTGGATTATCCAGGGTTGATAATCACTGGGGAACTGGCATTGGCCGCTGTCGACCAACAGCATCCTGGGATAGATGGACCTTTGCTCCAACCCCTTCCGGCCATTCTTATTGGTGGACACAATTATCAACCCTCAGCCACGGTCGTTTGCAGAATTTAAGAGGCATGATTACATCAGTGTGCAAAGTTTTGACTCTCTAAACCAGCGTTTCTCAACCAGTTGTACCCCTTAGGGGTACTCGAGAGAAGTCTGAGGGGGGCATGTTTGGAGAAAACGGAATTTTTGTTTTCCGTTTGACGGCGCTTTGTTATTTTTGCACTTTTTACACCCAAAAATGTCACTGCCTGCCCAGCTACAATTAAGTTGTTTAAACAAATGTGTTGCGATGGTAGGCAAAAAAAATTGCGTGTCTGAAAACTGTGGATAGTCGGGGGACTTACAATTTTTTTTTTAAAAAAGGGGGGACTTATACATGTTTTTAAATGGGTGCTTTATAAAAAAAAAGGTTGAGAAACACTGCTCTAGAAGACGGACCATTCACCCCTCTGCAAATGCCAATCGTAGCCAGAGCTGACTTATCCATTAAGCACAGAAGGCACCGTAACTAAAGCCCACGATACTTTTAGGGGCCCAGGAAAATGTGTTAATTTCTTTTAAAATCAGAAGAAAAACAATGAACTTTTAGGGGCGAAGAAAATGTTTTAATTTTTTTCTCACATCAAAAAAAAATTGAAACTTTTAGGGCCCACAAAAATCTATTCAATTTTGCCTAAAACAGAAAAAAAAAAGTTGAAGTATTTAAAGTGATATCAAAAATAATTTTTAATATTGATGTTATTATGGTGGGAAGGCCCCACGGAGGCAAAAGTGTCTAGGGCCCAAAATGCGGCCCTAATCGTAGCACCGGGTACGTCTCAACTACGGAGTTTGAATCTGTCGTGTCCAAGGAACGCGCCTTACCCAGATAAGGGTAAATTTCATCGCTTACCCGGTGACCATTAAGTTGTTTAAACAAATGTGTCGCGATGGTAGAAAACAATTGTGTGCGTCTGAAAAGTATTGGCTTTTTTTTAAGGGGTACTTCATGAAAAAAATTTGGAAAGGCAGAGGTGGGGTTTTTCGGCATCCCGGTAAACCTCGTTCTACGCGGAAGAAGGGATGTTCCAAAAGAGAGTTTTCCCTCCTGACATAGGGCCCCACGGTGACGTCGGAAAAGCCTCTTTCGGCCGAAAAGCGGGAACCGTATCTTGTCCCCGACTTTTCTTTGTCGCGGAGAGACAGCCACGTGCCAAAAGGGGCTGTCGAACGGAGGAATATTCTAACCTGGCGCGGTTCACGCAGGCGCCGCACGCTGGGTCTTGGCGCCAGGCCCGGGATCTGAACAGCCGACCTCCGCTTTCGGGGTCTTCTTGGCGGCGCAGCTGACCGGTTCTCCCGATGGGTGTCGTTTTCGCCGGGGTACGCCCCCCCGCCTTCGCCTTCACAGACATGAGATGTGTCCTCGCTCAAGCCAAACCGTTTCGGTCAAGGTCCATGGGGCTTGGGTCACGGGAAGGCCCGGCTCCGGAGTGCGGGAGAAAAATCACAGCGATTCCCACGACAACATGACCACCCTGGAATCGGAATAGGTGACAAACAGCGAGACGAATGAAGACAATTAAAAAACCCAACCCCATAGGGCTCTCCAGAGACTGACAGCCACCCCATCTAAAGACCCCCCCCCCACACACACACACACTTTTCACAGCAGGGAATAGATTCTGAGAGTCC